GCTCACGTGACAGCCACAAGCTGAATTAGAAAACACATTTGAACTTGGTCCCATTTCATTCTGCAAGTCCAATGCTGCAGGCAAAGACATGCTGCAAATGACATGCTACATGGCAATGCACACTTGTTTTTACATCGTAAAAACTCATGTCTAGCTCCAGTTAGTATTCTCAATCTCAGCATGAAACATGGGTAACTTTGATTTTGGAATCCTTTTAATGAAATTATGCACATGACCTGTAGGTTTCTTAAGGTTTTTTCTAATGACATAAATAAGTGAATGATCCGAGATTGAAGTATTTATAACTCCAGATATGCCATATATGGAGGATCGATTTGTGGAAATAAGATCTAAAATGGAATTGCATGTCTTGCCAAATTTTGTTGGTACTTTAACTGTTGAAGCCCTAAGTTTATAGAGATGTTAGTAATAAAAGAGTAATAAATATATAGTTTAGCTCAAATGGCATGTTTGTAGGAGTTTTAATTTATTAAATATAAGTTTTGTCTTTATCATAGCACTACACAATAACACAAACACTTATTAAACACTTATTATTATTATTATTATTATTATTATTATTATTATTATTAAGAAGATATAAATAAAACCTGTTTTGATTTTATATTTACAGGGGACTTATGTGAAATCCACTTTTTTAGCCATTAAGTGCATTTTGTTGTATACTTTGTCTTTAGGAGAGCAGAAAATAAGAATTTAGTTTCCCTTGGTGCTGTGTAGATATCTTTATTTTCTGTTTGGATCATATTTATTCTCTATTCTCTAATGATGTTTTAGAACTATTACATCACGGTATTTGCAACAGAACTGCTGAATAAGGTCTGGACTCACCAACTACACTTTGTTTGTCTTCATTCTCCTCTGGCTCTGGGCCAGACTCTGGCTCCAACATATAAAGCTGGATGGACAAGGGAACTTGTCTACATCTCTTAATCAAATTGTAAAAAAAACAAACTTCTGTGCTGCTGTGTAGATATAAAACCCTGTCAAACTGGAATGAATCGTCTGGAAGCTGGCAGGGTGTGAAGCGCCCTGTGGTGGATCTGAAAAATTTTTCATGGGGGGCGGGGCAAGAGGTCTAGGCAGGGTGACATTGTTGGACCTATTTGTAAGAAATCTTTTATGTGTAAATTGAGTCAACATAACATCCACATAAACTATTTATTAGCTACAGCGGGTAAAATAAGTATTGAACACGTCACCATTTTTCTCAGTAAATATATTACTAGAGGTGATAATGTCGTGAAATTTTCACCAGATGTTGGTAACAACCCAAGTGATCCATACAGTGGTTTGCAAAAGTATTCATACCCCTTGAACTTTTCCATATTTTGTCACATTACAACCACAAACATAAATATTTTTCTCAGTAAATATATTACTAGAGGTGCTAATGACATGAAATGTTCACCAGATGTCGGTAACAACCCAAGTGATCCATACAGTGGTTTGCAAAAGTATTCATACCCCTTGAACTTTTCCATATTTTGTCACATTACAACCACAAACATAAATATATTTCACTGGAATTTAATGTGAAAGACCAACACAAAGTGGTATACAATTAGGCCTGTCACGATAACAAATTTTGCTGGGCGATTAATTGTCTCAAAATTTATTGCGATAAACGATAATAT